TTGCCCTAGGAAGGCGCGCAAGTCCTCCAAGAGACTTCGCCCCAGGTACCTGTGTATCTGAATAAACCCTCTTGCTGTTTGCATCTGATCTGTGGTTTCGGCGTGTTCCTTGGGTTTGGGGTCTCTCCTGAAGGAAGATCTCCCCTGGGGGTCTTTCAGTGTGAGCTAAGGTAAACACTTCTCCTAAGTGGCTTTCAGTCAGGGTATTTGTTATAGCAACAGAAATGAACAAAAGCAGTATCCCACACCCCACAAACCCATCCCCCACACGCATATGCACACACACACACACACACACACACACACACCACAACCCCATATACACAAAGGTGTGTACTCACACATACACATGAACACACACGCACAAACCTCCATATGCACACATGTTTACATTTACACATAAATATGAATACACATGCACACAGCCACATGTACACATACATGCATACACATACTTCTACATGCACATACTTCCACATGCACACACAACACACACATGTGCAACCACACATACACACACATGCACATGCGCAAACATGCACCTGTGTGTGTAAAGCTGTAAAGTGAAGGATATACAAACATTTTCATATTAAAGAACACCGAAACAGCATGCAATAAACCAATAAGATGTGTGTTTGGTGATCGGGATGGTTGGTGTCACGAATGGAAACAGATTTTTCATGCATGTTTTGAACCATACAAATATAATATCTGTTATAATTCATGCATAGTACATCCATTTGGAAAATCAGAGCTTGCCTCTTGGAATAACACTCCATAAATAATCTCCCACCCACCACCTCTCTCTGTATCCTCCCTCCTTCTCTTCGTTTCTTCATTCCTTCCTGTAATGTTGGAGATGTTACAGACACCTGCTCTGCATTCTCTGGGTGCTTGCCTGCTTCTGAGTTCTGGATCATTTGTTCACAGTTGTTTTTGGGTCTCTTCTCAGTACCATTTGTGGAATTTCCATCACCCCTCTGTTCTCTGGAGTCCATCACCCTCTGTTTACCGAGATAAGGAAAAGTTTCCATTTAACTTCAGGAGGACAAAAATGGGTGGCCGCTCTGTGGTGGTTTGAATGAGAATGGCCTCAATTGGCTCATATATTTGAATGTTTGGTTGCCGTTTGGAGAACTGTCTAGGAAGGCTTAGGAGGTGTGGCCTTGTTGGAGGAAGTATGTCACTAGGCGTGGGCTTTGAGGTTTCAAAAGCCCATGCCAGGCCCAGTCTCTCTCTCTCTCTCTCTCTCTCTACCTTCATCTTGTGGATCAGATGTAAGTTCTCAGCTACTTCTCTAGTGCCATGCTGGCCAGCCTGCCTGTCACCCCGCTCCCCACTGTGGGAGCCCACAGTGACTCGAGCTTGTGGCTTGATTTTATCTTCACTTAAGGTCAGAGAGTTCAAGCTTATCTTTGCCCCTCAAGACTGAATAACAGGATGTTTGGCCAAAGGCCTGGTTACCAGATGCTTTGCTCCTCGTGACTGAATAACAGGAGGTGTTTACGCTGGTCTGTTCCTTGAACCAGGGTAAAGAAGTCTTTTTGCCCCATTGCTTGGTGTATAAAAAGGCTTTGAGAAATAAATTCCGGGCCTCTGCAGTATTCACTGAGAGCCCTCCCGATTCTATCTTCTGTCTCTTGTCTTTTTCTTTATTAATCCTTACTCCCCTATTCAGGTACCTGTTAGACAGGTCAGCTGGTCCTGACACCCCACCATGATGATCATGGACTCACCTGAAACCGTAAGCAAGCCCCCAATTCAATGCTTTCTTTTATAAGTAGCCTTGGTAATGATGTCTCTTCATAGCAATAGAGCAGTAACTAACACCATCTTCTGCCCATCATAGAAGGGCATGGTCAATACCTCTGTAACAACAGACAGGTCAATAAGAGAAACATATCACAATTCACTAATGTACACACGTATACAGGACTCACACAAAACACGAGTACTTAGCTGGGCTTTCAAAAAATGAACAAACAAACAACAACAACACAGTGTGAGAACTTGAAGACAGAGTCAGATGAACCCTAACTATCCTCTGCACAAGAGACAAGGAAAATGGACAGGGCTGGGGGGTTTTAGATGGATTATAAATGATAGCATGAACCCAGAGACTATTCAATGCCCCGGGTCAAAGCTCCTTTAGCAATAGATGCGGCCTTTGGTCTTTTTCAGTGTCCTCCTCTTAGGTAAGGGCTCCATCTTTCCTTTCTTGATGAAGGTGATTTCAGACAGGAGATTTGAAGGCAGCTGTGTTCCTCTGTGGATCTGGGCTTCAGAAAAAACAAAAAACTGTGCAGAAAGCCTTCCCTGCCCTCTGCAGAGAAAGAGGATGGGAGGCGGAGTGTGAGACAAACCTTGGTTTTGAGACTTTGTCTAGCTCGGCTGTCAAATTACCATGTTTTCTGAGCTTCAACAGTCTGGGAGGGGGTGGAGAGAGAGACAGAGACAGAGATGGGAGGGGTTCCTGTGCCCATGGAGGTGTGGTATCACCCAGGTTTCCGATGTTTATGCCTGTGCCCACATTCCTCTGCAGGGTTTTAGGCTCCTCTGAATCTGCGACACTCAAAGACACCGTTTCCTGGAACACCCTGGGCAGTACAGCGAGGCCACATTGAAGAAGCAAGGGCGCTGTAGAAATGTCACGATAGCAAGCCTGGTTCAGCTTCCTCTCCACAACCACTTTCTCCATTGTGTGCCGGTTTCCAGGGCACACAGCGGGGGTGTAGGATGTGGGGTGTGAGGTGTGGGGTGTGGGGTGTGTCCACTTTCAAGCCTGAGGTCTCTTTTCCTTAGATAGAAGAATTATTTTGTTCCTGTCAGCATCATGTCCTGTGCTGATCTTTGGATGTATGTATCTGTATTTGCTCTGTTTCCACCTCTTCAGTCTTTTGTTCTGCCTCATGGGAGAATTCTTTGGTATTCTTTCAACTTTGCTATTAAAATATTTACTTCCACGATCATATTACTAGTTTTTAACAGCTGTCTAAAGGGCTCTCTGTATGCCATCTGGGAGAAAGGAGTTAGCCGCTGATCTCCAACTTCCTGAAATGGAAGAGACCAAAAATAAGAAAGACACAACCAATTCAATCCTTAAAATTTGTAGATACAAACAAGATTGTACCTCCAGGCAAGAACTGTCACATCTGTCATGCTCAAAGTGGGGTACACCTGGGCCGAAGGTTCGCAAGTCTGGAGTGTGAGCCTTTGTGGAAGTGTGACCTACTTGAAACATCAGTACCATCGATAACAATTGTCAGAGCATAAAAAGGGAAATTTTGTGTATGTGTGTGTGTGTGTGAATAGAATAATTTCTCTGTATAACTACTGCCTTTTCAATGAAACACAGAAGCATTAGAGTTTGTTTGCTTTTTTAATTTATTTGAGATAGAGTCTCATTATGTAGCGCTGGTTAGTCTGGAATGCCCTTTGTAGGCCAGGTTGGACTTGAACACAGAGATGTGCCTGCCTCTGCCTCCCCAGCGCTAGGATTAAAGATGTGCCCGCTACATCCTGTGTATGTGTTAAATCTGAAGGAAGTACGTCTTTTTTTTAAATGTGTGTAGGTGTTTTACCTGCGTGTATGTCTGTGTACCACGTGTGTACCTGGTGCCCACAGAGCCAGAAGAGAGCACCAGATACCCTGAAATTGGAGTTACAGATAGTTTTGAGCCACCATGTGAATGTTGGGAATTGAATGCAGGTCCTTAGGAACAGTAGCCAGTGTTCTTTATTGATGAGACATCTCTTCAGCCTCAGTAAAGGATGTTATAAAATGGCAAGAAAGAACCCATGATCCAAGGTATCTGTGTCAGACTACCCTGTTTCCATGTCAAGATCACCTAGATCTTTTAAGTGATTAATAAAATGAATAGATTTTAATAATAGTTAAGGTGTCTGAGTTTTATGTAAATTGACAATCTGACCCTACCTGTTAATTTAGTATCTCACTTTATAGATTCAATATTTTCCTTTATATCTTTGAAGCGTGCAAATATATTTTCAAAGGAATTCCCCTCTCCTATTTTTTTATTTCTCTCTAGGTTTGTTCTGTCTGTTGGGATCTCTTTCATATTCAAAGCATTTCCAAGTATCTATTAGCTATTCATTTGTATTGTATATTTAGGTACCCATGTGGGTGAATTTGGCTTTTGAAAGTGGGATTTCATTGTAAGATGAGCACACAGGTCCTTAAATATTTTTACAGGAGAGTCAATGTGGTGGTTTGAATGAAAATGGCTCCCATAGATTCATAGGGAATGAGGGAATGGCATTATTAGAGGTGTGGCCTTGTTGGAGTGGGTGTGGCCTTGTTGGAGGAAGTGTGTCCCGGGGGTGGGGGGAGGGTATTGGCTTTGAGGTTTCAGATGCTTGAGCCAGGCCTAGTCTCTCTCTCTTTTATAGATCCAGATGTACAACTCTAGCTCCTTCTCCAGCACCATGTCTACCTGCATGCCACCATGTTTCTTCCCACCATGATGATAATGGACTAAACCCCTGTATCGTAAGCCAGCCCCAAGTAAATGTCTCCCTTTATAAGACTGCCTTGGTCATGGTGTCTATTCACAGCAATAAAACCCTCACTAAGACAGTCGGACTTTTAATTTCTGTATGTTTCTCTCCAGAATGGTCTGGGCTGACCAAGAAGAAGCCTACACTGTCAGGAAAGGGGGCTCTTGTCATTTAGTGTGGCTGCTATCACAGGTGGCCATTCATATGTTGCTGGAATCTGTTATTTTTTTTCAGTCTCAGAAGTTAGAGGTTAGACACAAGTGTGGACCACAGTGGTGTTACTGGGAGCGCAGTCCTCTCCAGAACTGAGGAGGATAATCTGCTTCTTGCCCTTCCCAGAGGCTCACTCCACATCTTAGCTGATCTTTTTATCATTAAAAATGAAAAAAATAGAAGTGCCAAGATTTATGATGTCAGAGGGGTTGATTTGCAGTTGGCCTGATCCATTGTCTCTAGACTCCAGTGATACAGGGCACCATGGCAACAGGAATATGTGACAGAAGAGGCCATTCACCTCATGGCAGTGTTAGAGCAGCAAAAAAAGCCTGTTAAGGGGAAGCTCCTCCTGGTCAAAAGATGAGAAGCTCTGAACTGGGTGGAGACCTGACATTCCCCTTGAGCAGGTCAGTCACCTGGCCAAGGCACCACCCCCAGGAAGGTAGGCAGGCACACTGTAAGCCATGTTTAAGAGACAGGCAGAGTAATTGTTCTCTAATGAGATACTGTGCTTTTCTTTCTCAGACGTCTGACTTCGAGTGCAATCCCTACAAGCCACCTTTTTCTTTTTTCTGTCTTCTTTCAGATGCTGGCAAGAATCTAGATGTGATTTTCCAATACTTTGGGCTTCCTTGCTTGTTTTCTAAATCTTTCTTCCCCACCACAGGACTTCCTGGTGCCGTGTTGAAGGCCCCATGCTGGTAACTCAAGCAGCCTGGCTTTCCCCTCCTCTGCTCCATTATCCTCCTCCGGGCCTCAGTTGTATTGATAGCTTGTCTGCCCTGGGATTTTTCTTTTAAACTCTGATTAAAGTTGTCCTCAAGCTTCCCTTTGATTCAACTTTAAATCATCTCATTAATGAGACTAAGAACCCCAGGAAGGGACCCAGATTTCCCTGGTATCATTTGGGGAAACTGAGGAAGATGTCTGCTTCAAAGGTGTCCCTCTGGTAAACTACCCCTTCCGGGCATGCTCCATCCCTTATTGCCACCCTACCCCAATGATACCACCAGATTAAAAATTCCATTGGTTAGTCCATTGCCCTCAGGATGATTAGTCCTACCATCTGAGGAATCAGGCATTCAACACTCGAGTCTTTGGGGGACACTTCTTATCCAAACCAAAATGCCCCAATTCCTTAGCTGTGACCCCCTTCTGAAACGGCCAGTGGAGACTTTCTTCTGTCATCACTCAGATCCCAGCATTACTGTTCCAATATTACTTTGGACCTGTGTTATTACATTGAACTCACCCAGGCAATTCAGAGTTTATTTATAACCTTGATTTTCTCTTACCATGTCATGTAACATATTCACAGGTTCTGTAGATCAAGATAGGAGCACCCTTTTGGCCATTCTTCTGCCTCTAGGACGCATTTCTTGGATACTATGGTTTTTTGTTAGGGAAGAGGGAGGGAGAAGGGAAGCAGTGCCCGTTGGATGGTATGTGGGATGTTACTTATTTCCCCTTTAGCAGACGCTGCTGTCATCTCTGCCTCCTGTCCCTGAGTGCAAAGTTCAAAATAAGATCTCTAAAGAGTCCTTTTCCATTCGTCCATCCAGGGCAGGGGAGATGTAGTACCCAGCTTGGGGGATGGAGAAGTTATCTGGAGCCCCAAATGATTTTTTACTTTTGTTTGTTCCAAATGCTTGAACATTCCTCTAGCGACATCACCTTTGACCAACTTCCTACTCCGAACTGCATTGTTTAGCACCAGAACACTGTAAGATCTTTTTAGCTGTTTCCTGGTACTGGTTTAATCGAATGTGCTCCGAGAGCAGGTTCTGTATCGCCCCGCTGTTTTGAGTTTGTTGGAGCATGTTTTATAGCCTGGAAGTGGTCCGTACTTATAAATATTCTGTGTGAGCCTGAGAAAATGTGTGTTCTCGGATGAAGTGGTCTGTAAACGTCTATTAGATCCTGTTGGCTGAGGGGGTTCAGTTCTACCGTGTCCTTCCGGCTTTCAGTCGGCTGCATTTGTGTTACTGAACAGGCACGTCCAGTGTCCACTGACAGAGAGCTAAGCTACCTCTTCTGGCAGTTCTGTGTGTTTTGGAACTCAATGTTTAGATATACATCAAGGCATGTTGAATCTTGCAGAATTAACCTTTCATCATTAGGTAATACGCTTTTTTTGTGTGTTGGACAAATTTTCTTTTCTTTCTTAAAATTTGGATGTTTTTTCTTACCCTAAAGTATTCTTTACCTGGATTTTTAAGTTTTACTTATTATTATTATTTTAGATTGGCTTTCTCTATGTAGCCCTGACTGTCCTGGAACTGGCTTTGTAGACCAGGTTGGCTTTGAACTCACAGAGATCTATCTACCTCTACCTCCTGATCGAGCACTGGGATTAAAGGCATGAGCCACTACCACCCACCACCTCTTTTTATTCTCATCCAAAGATACAGCAGTTTTTTTTTTCTTTTTCTTTTAGCTTTCAACCAACCAAACACTCCTCTACCCACTTCTCAACAGACAGGCTTATTTGGGGGTTTGAAAAGAGACACAGACCATTGTGTGCCAAGAGAAAAACCTTGCCTTCTTTGGGCTTGCTGGTTCCACACCTCACCTACCAATGTGTCGGCCATTACTTCTAACTAGACCTGACCGGTGCACATAGTCACAGTAAAGTTTGTTTACAAACTCCTTTAAAACACCAGCTTGTTTTAGTTCTGTGGACTAATCTGAATAACAGACATGTGTTTTAACTTTGAAGGCAGGTAGTAAACTTGGCTAAAGGTCTTGTGAGCGTCCATGAGCAAACAGAACTTTTTTATTTATTATGAGGCAATTCCATAAGCGATAAATACCTTGCCTTTATTTGTCTGGCAATGTCTTTATTTATTTATGTTTATTCTTGCAGGATAATTTCATTAGATACAGACATTTTGTTTTTTTAATAATTTGACAAATTATAGTTGCTTTAAACACTAAATATTCTGCTACCCCACTCTCATGCTTACACGGCTCTATAGTACGTGTAGTTTTTGTGTGTTCCTGCCCCTGCCCCTCACCCTCAACTCCTTTTAACATTGTTTTCTTTGCTTCTCATACAGCTTGAGAGCATGGTATATGTTCCCCTTGGGTGACTTTTAAATTTCTTTTTGTCTGTATTGCTTGGTATTTTCTGAGCTTCCAGGACCTGTGGTTGCTGTTGCTGTCTATCAATCATTTCAGAAGACTCTTCAGCCACGATGCCCCGGCTCCACATTTATATCTTTTGTGATTGTTCCTGGAGATTTTAAAGGATCATTCCACATTTCAGTTTCTGAAGTTTTGTGTCAGTGTATCTTCAGGCTCAATGCTTCTTCCCCAACTGTGTCCACTCAGTGGTCAACCCATCAAAGACCATCTGGGCTTGGTTTGGTGCTGGAGAACTAAACCTAGCATTGTGCAGAGTAGGCAAATCACTTTACCACTGATATACACCCTAGCCACGAGCAAGATATTTTTCATGCCTATTACAATGTTTTAATCTTTTAATTATAAAATGACATTTATTATGTGTGCATGTGTGCATGCAGAGGTCAGAGGACAACTTGCAGGAGTCAGTTAGTTCTGTCCCTTCTACCCCAAGGGTCCCAGGTATTGAACCTGGGTCCTCCGGTTCAGCTGTAGGTTCCCTTACCTGCTGAACCATCTTGTCAACCTTCCTTTTGATACCTCCTTAGGGATTCCACCCACTTACACTGCCCAGATGTTCTTGCATGTTGCCTGTCTTTTCCATTAGAGCCCTTTAATGGGATTAGAGCACACTACTTTCAATCATGTAACATTTCTGCCTTGGCAACTCCAAAATCTCTGTCATTCTGAGCCTGTTGCTCGTTCTTGCTTTGCCTCTTCAGACTGTGTCATTTGCTTGTGTTTTAAAAGCCTGTCTTGTACATTTTTGCAGCCACTGAAAGCTGACCAGGACAAATGGAGTATAAAGGACTAGATTAAGGACCTTTGTCGGAGGCTTCCTATTGGTCCGGGAGGGTTTAGGTGTTGCTGCTGTTCTGGGTGTCAGTGTCCTCAATTCCCTCCCCGGTTCTTGCTGTCGTCCTTGTCACCTTTGCGTTTCCCTAATGATGCTTTCTTACAAGAACCTATCGTCCCAGCATCTCTCTACCATTGGCTTCTGTTGGTATGGAACTCAGTTCACGTACAGATAGGGTGCTGTGGAGGGGAGGGTTCTGCAGTCCCACACTTCTATTTCTAGTTTTTTAAAGGAGTTGTGGGTCATCGGGTGGTGACTTTTCAAACAGCCTTTATTCTTTTAAAAAAAAAATCATTACATTTGTTTTTCACGTGCTTGTATGAGTTTATGTGCATCACATACATCCAGGAGCCCATGGGGGCCATAAGAGTGCCTCAGTTTCTCTGAAACTGGAGTTACGCATGGCTGTGAGCCATGTGGATACTGGGACCCAAACTCTGGTCCTTTACGAGAACAGCAAGCTCACTTAACCATCTCTCCAGCCCCTGCTTTAGCTCCCCCAAATCCCCTTTCTCCTTTTCTAGGAGATAAGAAATTAAAGAATGCTGAATTGTCTACCTGTCAGCTCTTCAAGGCCAGGTAAGGCGCTGCCAGAGCAGTTACTTCTTTATTTTTCGGTTGACCATATTCTTTGAGAATTTCGTACACGTGTACAATAAAATGTGATCCCCTCCACCGCACCCCCACCCCCTCTAACAAGCCCCGTCCCAACTTCATGTCTTCCTCTCCTTGTAAATAACCCACTAAACCCAGTGACTGCTGCCCACTGGTGGGAGCAGCCTGCCTTTGTTATGAAGAGCTCCCCGGTTTGTCTCAAAATGACTTCGCTCCCCCGCCCTAACCATGAGGGGCTTTCCCTGTGATCTTCAAGACTAATGATGTGAGTTCAATCCCTAGGACCCACAAGATGGAAGCAGAGAACCAACTCCTGCAAAGTGTCCTCGGATGCCCACACTCAGACTGCAGTATGCATACCTAGACATATTACATGCACACACAAAATAAGTAAATAAAAATGCAATTCAAAAAACCCCACACAGCTTCCTGTTGCTTTCATTTTGGGGCCATCCTCAGCAGGGGTCTAAGAGCAGCTCTCCGGTGACATGCCATCTGCAGGTGGCTCAGAGTCAGAGTTCAGGACTCTTTCACCTTCCCTGTTCTTTACCAGGTAGCTCCGGGCCATGGCTGCTGGGGCCACGCTGGAATCTTTACTGCTTCAGCTCAGACTCTCCAGTTTCCCTTCCTTATAACAACTTCCATTTTTTATTAGACCTACTAGCATCCCGCCTGTAACTTGTCTGAACCATAAGACTCTCTGAGCTGCAGTGTTGAGAATCAGTTTGTTCCAGCTCCTTCTGTCCTCTGCGGCAGAGAGACACACCACAGCAATGCTGCCAGCAACCTGAGGAGATCCTTTCCCTCTTAGCGACCTCCGCTTAAGCAAAGTCAGATCCTTCACACCCGCAGAAAGGAATTTCAGGATGAGCCAGTGTGGTGGTTTGAAAGAAAAAGACCCCCAAAGGGAGCAGCACTATTAGAAGGTGTGGCTTTGTTGGAGTGGGTGGTCTTGTTGGAGGGAAGTGTGTCACTGTGAGGGCAGGCTTTAAGGGTTTGTATATGCCCAGCAAGACAGTCCACTTCTTGTTGCCTTCTGATCAAGTTGTAGCCAGCACCATGTCTGCCTGAACCTACTACCATGTCTTATCATCATGATAATGGACTGAACCTCTGAACTGAAGTGATTGTCTGGTGTCTCTTCACAGAGATAGAAACCCTAACTAAGACTTAATCACAGTTCAGGCAGACATGGTGCTGTAGCTGTAGCTGAGAGTCCTACATCTTGCAGGCAACAGGAAGTGGTCTGTCACACTGAGGGAAATATGAAAAAAAGAAGACCTCAAAGCCCATCCTCCACAGAGACACACTTCCTCCAACAAGGCCACACCTACTACAACAGGCCACACCTCTTAATAGTGCCACTTCCTTTGGGGGTCCTTTTCTTTCAAACCCCCACAGCATCTTTATAAACACCATTTATGTGGTCCTATAGTTTTCAAAGTAGTTTTCCTCAAAAGACAGAACTTACAGCAAGGTTTTAAAATTAAGCAAAGGGCCAGTGGGATGTCTCATTGCCTTAAAGTGATTGCCCTACAAGTCTCATGAACTGAGCTTGATCCCAGATCCCACAGTGGAAGAAGAGAATTAACTCCTGAGGACTTTGCTCTGACCTCCACAAATGTTGTGGCATATGCATACTTGTATCCATGCATATACACCTCACACATCACACACATATATGTGTGTAAATAAAAAAATAAAATAAAAATTTTAAAGATTAAGCAAAGCTAAAAATTTAACTGAAGTTTAAAAGTTGAAATATAGGACTCACCTTTTCCTATCTTAAAGAATTTCTTATTACCAATGAAAAATACTAAAGATTATTTATTTATATGTATGTGTGTGTGTGTTTCTGTATGTGTATATGCCACAGTTGTGCAGGGCTGAGGAGGCCAGGAAAGGGCCTCAGATATCCTGTGTTAGGGTTACAAACAGTTATGAATTCTCTGGCATAGGTGCTAGGAAGCAGACTTGGGTCCTCTAGAAGAGCAGCAGGCACTTCTAACCACTGAGCCTTGTTTCCAACTAGCTGCAAATGAAACTATAAGATGATTGAGTTGTGCTGTCTAGACTTCGGGTTGAGAGAGGGATATTTGTGGTGATATTGTGTCCCCCAATATATTGTGCACCCTGATAAACTTATCTGGGGTCAGAGAACAGAACAGCCACTAGATAGACATAGAGGCCAGAAAATGGTGGCACACACACCTTTAATTCTATCACTTAGGAGGCAGAGATCCATCCAGATCTCTGTGAGTTCAAAGCCACACTGGAAATAGCCAGGCATGGTGACACACACCTTTAATCCCAGGAAGTGATGGCAGAAAGCAGAAAGGTATATAAGGTGTGAGAACTAGGCACTAGAGGCTTTTAAGCTTTTAGCAGCAGTTCAGCTGAGATCCATTTGGATGAGGACTCAGAGGCTTCCAGTTTAAGGAAACAGGATTGATTGAGAAGATGGCAAGGTGAGGTTAGCTGTGGCTTGTTCTGCTTCTCTGTTCTTTCAGAATTCACCCCAATACCTGGCTCCTGGGTTTTTTTTTTTTTTTTGTTTTTTTTTTAAAATAAATAAGACCCTTAAAATTAAAGTTCACAAATATCGGGCTTTAAGTAAACATAGGTCATTTGTTGTTTTTAGCATTGTTGTTTGATGTATTTAGGCAATTTTGGTTTTATCAGTTGTGTTGAAGTTTCTTGTCTTTCAGGCAATAAGAACAGCCAACTAGATCCCAGGGTGAAAAGTCACTATCCCTTCTCAGGTCCTCTCAATTTTCTCTATCTTTCTGTCTTGCCTCACTTCCATGCTTCCATAGTCTTTACTGGACTTCTTTTAAGCCTTTTAACTTCAGAACTGTGAAATGATGAACTAAAGCATATTTAAGTTTTGAAGAATCTATTAAAGCAAGATCCGATTCATTAATTGGATAGTGGATACTGAAGATGTGAACCAAAGGTTTCTGAAAGAGGCAGAGTGACATTTAAGAACCTGCAAGCTGACCTCGGCGAACTGGACCGTGACACTTTCAGAGCTATGGAATATTGAAAATCAAGAGCCAAAGTGATCTTGATCTGTTTTCCTACCCACCTCTGCAGCTGATTTAATATCCTCAGGACTGCTTGCCACCAACAACCATAGAGCTGAGAATGCAGTACTGGTAACACCAGAGCTTCCAGAGCACGCTGCACCTTGCTGCAGTCCACCAACAACGTGCATTTTGGAAACATACTGATTCATGTCTTTCTTTTCTGTGATGATAAAAGTTCATGGAACTTTGACACGGTGGAACATGTCATTCAAAGTAACTTGACTCCCTGTTACCAGACATGACCTGTGACATTTGGCTCAGAGTAAACTACTTATTTCCTTAAAGCAGAGTTTTGTTTTACGTCAATGTTAGGTAAACGTGGAACTGAGGCAAAGGAAATATTTGTTATAGTGGGGCAGTAACCTTGCCTAGATCATTCCAGTTGAAGGTCTCTGGTTAGAAGTTAGTTGGCAGCTTTTGACTGGCTAAGGTTAAGCTGTTTTCCATTGAGCTAATCATTTGCAAATAGAGAATTTGAGTTAGGTTTTGTCTTGTCTACACAGCGAGCCAGGACATTAGAACCACCCCATCTAATGTTCTCATATTTAATTGTCTTAACAGTGTCCTCTGGTCTTGTGTGCCCATTACTAATCTTGTCTTCACTCTATCTCCTAAGTTTTGATTGATACCTTTCGTTTTATGTGTTTTATTCCTTTGACCTTTTGGATTTATGGTGGCTGAACTTCAAAAGTAATAGATCAAACAGTGCCACTTAGGCATGTTCAGTACTTGGAACTAAATGAAAATGGAAGTCCTCCCTCACCTGGCCTCTCTCTGACTTTAAGGGTTCTCTTTTCTCTTGCTAGGCAAGTTATGAAAATCAGAATTTTTCTTCTCTACAGCAGATCATAAAAACAAGACTTCCTCACACACCAAGCCATGTAACCTGGAGATATTACTCTAACCTGGGCATTGTAACTCATGCCTGCAATCTTAGCAGTCGGGGGATTGAGGAGGGTCATTAATTGAAGTTTGAGGTACATAGAGAGACTGTCTCAAAAACTTAAAAGTAAGGATGACTCGAACCCAGTAGTTCTCAACCTTCCTAATGCTGTAATCCTTTATTAGTTCCCCATGTTGTGGTGACCTCCAACTGTGCTGATACTTTGTGTATGCTCTAACAAAAGTCAGTCACTAGTTAGTCATAGAGACCAGGCAGTGGTGGTACATGGCATTCAGGAGGCAGAGGCAGACAGATTTCTGTGTGTTCATGGCCACCCTGGGCTACACAGGATTGATCCAGTCTAAAAGAGAAACAGAGCCAGGCATCGATGGCACACCTTTAATCCAAGCACTAAGGAGATGGAGACAGGAAGTGATGTGGCTGAGCAGAGAAAGGAATACAAGGCAGGAAGAGACAGGAACTCAAGTGCCTTTTAGGCTGAGGATTTCCTAGAGGTAAGAACTGGTGGCTGGCTGCTCTCCTTCTCTGATCTTTCAGCTTTCACCCTGATATCTGACTCTGGGATTTATTAATAAGGCCAGTTAGGATTTGTGTTACACCCGTCCATAAAGTTATTTCATTGGTACTTCATAGCTGTTATTTTGCTACTATCATGAATCATAATGTAAATATCTGACACACAGGATATTTAGTATGTGAGTCTGCCAATGGAAAGCTGCTGTCTTGTTCGGATCTGCAGAATTCCTGCCGCCGTTAAGTGTGGAATTTAACGCTGTTCTCAAGGTTGCATGAGCACTGCTCTTTGCTCGCAGCCTCTTCCTCCACTCTAAGTGTCTCTCCTGGCCCAGGATGCACAAATCAGATATACACACATACACGGTAGTATAACTTTGATCTTGTTTCTGTTCCATTTGTTGTAATTTATGCCTACTTTGCTTTCATCTTTATTGTCTCTTTATTTTACCCATTTTAGTTCAATTGCCATGCATTTTGTTCTATTATTCCTCTTAGCAAAGTCTACTTTGGCTTAATAAAGGAGACTGAGAACAAATTACGCATGTATTTTGAGCATTCTTTGATTTATGAAAGAAATATGTTGATGGAGGAGGCTGTGAGGTTTTCGGTTTAGATTTATTGTTTTTAATTGTTTGTAATACTGGGTTAATTCTGTTTGCAATACTAGATTACACACACACACACACACACACACACACACACACACACACACACATACACAAGACTGTAAGACTATCTGGAGTTCTTTTGTTTTCAAGATGAGAGGAATGGTAGTTTTAAAACTGGTGATGTGAAACCTGTGTGATCACAGAGAGAGCTTTTTAGAGACAGTATTGGGATGAACAGGGTCCTGAAAATTTTGCTTTTGTCTTACGCTCCCTTAGAGTAGATGAAGGGTGGTATTTACAAAG